TGTTCTTATGAGACATTTGCAAGAGATGTACTTTGGTGTATGCATTTTATTGATGATATTCTTCTTGTTGATAAAACTAGTGTAGGATTTTTTTAGGGGAAATTTTATTTCATCAAAGTAAAAAGGTATAAAGTCCTTAATGAGAACAAAATCACTAACTCTTAGGAGCTACATCAAAAAAAAAAAAACCAAAGAGTAATAATCCCTGCCTAAGAGCCTAAAAAGGATCAATAGCTTACTAAGGATCAAAGAGCTATAATCAAAATAAATGAAAACATGACGAGCCAAAGATCCCAACCTAGTTAAAAATAGCATAAAAAGATGTTGAAAAGAATTTAAAACCCAAAAAATTCAAAAGCTCGAAGCTCAGATAAACTTGAAGGACCATAAGGTAGCACATGAGATGCATGCAAATAAATTAAAAGGCATAAAAGATAGCCACATACCATAAAGAACAAAAAAAACATACTAATCAAAATAATAATCCAATAGAAACATCCCTCCCTTAGAACTTATCAACCAACAAGCTGACTTAGTACATATCTATTGAGCACCATCAACAACTGCACAAAGAAAAGTTAAAAGAGAATGAAAAGAGCACACGACCAAAAATATAGGAAATAGGAGGACTCTTCATAAATAACACATATGTTACCTAAGTCACAACCAAACTCTACCGTAATGAAAAAAAGACTAGCAATATGAGAGCCGCATCCATAAATCAAAAGAGCCCTGCCCAGTGAAACAACCAACCTCGAACTGAACCAGACCAACAACAACCACAAAACTCCATAATCAACCTGCTAAACATTAATAGCACTAACCACCAACACGATATATGTTATAGCTCAAACTCTTAAATATAGAGATATTATTAACTTTGGCATACATGCATCAGGATTTTATCATGTTGTTGTAACTTTGGCATACATGAGTACGCTCAACTACATAGTTTCTTACTAAAATTCCAACCATTGTACTAAAAAGTGTATCAATATTTAAGTGTTTAGCTTCTTTTACTTCAGGGGTTTTACAAACTTCAATAACTGGCATCCTCATCAGTATCCCTATCCCAAAATCATTCACCGTGCATATAAGATTCTAGAGGTTGCCCATACAAGTTTAAGTGGAGACTCCCGTCACGTAGCACTTTGTCTCATATAGGATTCAAGAAGTAGCTCCCATGACATAATACTTTGTATTATATAATACTTAGTACCTATATTACGGCTAATTTATTACTATGATACTAATTTATAATAACTCAAACTCTTAATTATCAAGATATTAGCCGCTTTGGTCTAAGGGTCTTACAGTTTTGCTTGTTAGTGTAATTTCCTAGAAGATGACCCATCCCAGTATTTCTCCAGGATGTCCATGTTTGACTGTAGAGTTTCTTAATGAAATTCTAACCTTTAAATCAAAAGACACATCGATGTTTAAGAGTTTAGCTTCTTTTACTTAAGGGGTTTCACTACATCCATAAGATCACCACCTAAAAAATAACACTCCAAGAAATAACCCAAATTTGAACATCAACAACATAAAAGAGATAAAAACCATTGATGACCAAATGATACAGGGAATAATAAAAGCAATAAAGGGTTAGAAGAGCAATACTCAGCTCAAAAATTGAAATAATACCTTTAACAGAAATATCCACCATATAGAAGCGCACCACTAATAAACTCCATCTAATAAGAAGTGCATCCAATACTCAACAACCCAAGAACACCCGTTCCACCTAACATACCAAATAACCATCCAACTAATTCATAGATACATGGAAACACCTAAAAGTAAATAAACTTAATCATAATATTAAACATTATTATAGGAACATCCCGATAGTTGGATAGGCTTTTTATAATCACCGAATAACCATCAAAGTAATTCACATGATATTTATATAAATAAATTTAAGAGTAGTATTAGATCTATTGATTATAACCTCAGATGAAATATTATTTATGATTTTCTTTTGATTTTTCCCCTTTTTCTTATTGGAAATTAGAAGGGAATCATCTTTGGAAATATGTATAACATTCAAATCAACATCCTCATCAAAGACACTTTCATCAGCAGAATTAATCTATCCCTCTTTCCCAAATAGAATATGAATTGTTAGAAGGAAAAATCTAACATAGGGATCATCCCCATCCCCATCAGATTGCTTATCTTCTTGATGCAGAATCTCAAAATTAGACTGAGGCACACCAATAAAAGAGGGAGAACCATGAATGAGAATTATGTGTAGTAAATTAGAGATGTCTACATAGATAGAAGAACAAACATAACCAACAACATAAGCCATTTGATTACATCTTTGGGCTTCATGATCAGTATTAGTATTAACATATATAGGATTTGGGGAAAAAAGAAATGGGAGATGTAGGGTCAACAGATTTAATATCATGAAGGTGGGTTTGAGATTACCCTTCTTAATGATTAAGAATAGGGGAAGAATTATGAAGAGCATCCTCCTGAGAAAAAATAAACTCATTCTCCAAAGCATTAATAATAGGGTGTGGCAAGTTATCATTCATATCTAAATTTTTCACATCAGGCTTCCCCAATGATTTCGGATTAATAAATTCAATAGATTTTGAATTTTAATTTGTTAAATATAGGTGAAGAATAAAGCATTCAAAGAAACTATTGTCACAAGTTTTATAGTGATTATAGAAATAGGGAAAGTCTTCCAATTCCACCTTTATAAATAGCCAAAACATTCAGGCCCAATCCAAATTTCCTTAGGTTATTTCTTAGTAATATTTAATTCAACCAAAATTTGGGCAAGAAAGGACCTACATCTAGAAGCAGTACCAAAATTTGGGCAATAAAGGATCTACATCTAGAAGCAGCAGCCTAATTAGTCTATAATGGACGGCCAGAGATAGAATCAATTACATGAATTAGGAATTAAACAAATGTAATATGAGATCAATAAAGGTGATCCAAATAGGTGCTATAGGGGTTTCTTCCTTGATATCAAAGAAGGGAGTCCACGTAAGTAGTCACATTAGATAATTATTAATATACGAGTGTATAGAAAAAATTTAATCATAGTCCAAATCATTAGAAAGCTGAATAAGTACATGACTAGCATCTAAGAGACCAACAAAAAAATGACCTGAAAGCTTCAAATTAACAAAAAAAATTTATGGAAAGTGTCATGATTGGGCCAACGAATGAAAACTTTTCCAATCAGAGAAAATTCAAATGGAGCAGCTATATGTACTCCATCATCATCATTTGAGAACATCACAGTTGGAACACCTTTAAATGTGGTCTAAATAAGAGAAATAGATAGAGCAGATGGAGATGCCATACCAGAGACAACATCCTTAAAAGAATGCTAGTTTGTATTACATGAAACTCCAAACAAGCCATTATTCTTAGAAATTGAAGAATGCCCCGTGAATTACAAGGCGGCGACACTGCCATGCCTGATAAAGAGGCCACAACACCACTATATCAAGAGTATGGGGCCAAAATCGATTCCAATCCCATGAAAAATGCCTTCCAACTAGCCAAAATGTGAACAGAAATAGTGAAATAATAGAAATGGTCTAGAGAAACTTCCCTGAGGTGTAAGGGAGGTTTTCATAAGAGATTACAGCCCACAAGCACTTGAGATAGATGATCCAGGTAGGAGATACAAAAGGGGGTAGCTGGGGAGAAACCCTAACACAGCAGGGCTGCGGAATGATTTAATGAAACTAGAGACAGAGTTGGTCAAAAGCTTTAATTATGAAGGTCAACCTTGGATTCTAAAGAGTTTCTTTTGTATAAATAAAAATAATCTAATGCATGCAATATAATTTTAGTAGTAATTGATCCAATGATGGGATTGTTACATGACATTGGGTGATCAAGTCATTAAAAAAAGAGTGCATATTTTATACATCTTGAGTCTATTGTTCAAGGCGATGGTGAAATCGATGGGGATATTATTTATAGAATTCAAGTTGAATGGTTGAAGTAGAGGAATGCATCATGCCTATTACGTGATAGAAAAGTACCCCTCAAATTTAAGAAAATAATTTATAAGATGGTGGTGAGACATGCAATGCTTTATCACACAAATTGTTCTCCATTAAAAGAGAAGCATAGAATTAAGTGTTAATAGAGATGAGAATACTCAAGTGAATGAGGTGTTTTACACTTGGAGAAAGAATGTGAAACAAGTTTATATGTGAAAGGCTAGAGTCGCTCTAATGGTAGATAAGATTAGATAGAGTCACCTTAGATGGTTCAACCATATAAAATGTTGGTCTTTCAATGACCCAAATAGGAGAGTATATGTATTTTGTTCGACCTATATTAAGAAAGGTAGATGTAGACCTAAAAAAATCTTGTTTAGAAAGTATTAGAAATGACTTATTTCATTAAATTTAAATAAATTTTTTACTATTAATAGTATACAATTGAGAAAAATGATTTATATAGTTGACACTCATAGTGACATATAAAGTCTTGTAGTTGTTGTTGTAGACTAATTTTGCTTAAAATTAAATGAAATGCTTGTTACAAGTAAGATTTTTAACTCAGGTATAACTACTTAATTTTAATAAATTTGGATTTAAAATGTTTTATGAGGGTTAAATTCTTAAAATTATTTGATAGGATAACCCTAAATTTAATTAAATTTTGGTAAACTACTTGCTATTTAGAATTCAACGCTTTTTTTTTAGGATTATGAGATCTTATTGTATCTATTGGAATTACATTAATTCTAATTAAATAAGCTAAACAATAATTAGCTTAAAATAACAGCAGAATTATTTATTAATATGTAACTTATTAAGCTAATTAAACACAATAACTAAAATTTATTCAACTTAAAGAGTTACTAATTTACTTAAATTAATAACTTTTTAATTAACTAATATGAATTATTTAAGAATATTTAAGTTTTTAATTAATATAATTTGCTTAACTAACTATTTAAAAGTTTTTAATTATAAAGTTTGTATATTCTCCTAACCAAATATTTATACATAAAAACTATTTAATAAAAATTAAAATATTTAATTATTTATTTTACAATGAAAAAGTGCAAAATAAACATACTAAATGTTGAACAGAATCAAACTTGAGATAAGCTATCCCAATTATTGTCTTGTAGAACTTATCCCTCAAAGGCCATTGACAAATGCCTTGAGGTTCCTGGACGATGATCCGTCCTCTGCAAGCGCCGCCCTTGCCTTCTCCTTCCACTCCTCAGCCTTCTTTCTTATCTCCCTTGCCCTGTCACCCTCCCCCATCACTTCTTATCCCCCTTGCCCTGTCCCCCTCCCCCATCACCACATCCAAACCACGTCTCAGCTCCACCGCATCCACGATCCCATCATCACCTGCCTCTGCCCTCAAAGCGATCCCCCACACTGCCTCTGCCAACCTTGCATTTGTTGCCTGCTCGATCCACTGCGGCAGCATCACCATCGGCACGCCGCTCACCACCGCCTCAGACATAGAGTTCCACCCCCCATGCGTCACGAAGCACCCCACCGCCTTGTGATCCAACACTCTCACTTGTGAGCACCACTCCACCACCTTTCCCTTCCCTTCTTTCAAAATCCTTTCCACCCCAACCTCTTCTGGTCTGCTGTCCGCAGAAAGAAGGCATCGACTACAATGAGGTATTTGCTCCAGTTATTCGTATGGAAACTATTCGCTTGATTATTTCTCTTGCTTCACAAAATAATTGGTCTATTTATCAAATGGATGTTAAATCTGCATTTTTAAATGGAGTCATTGAAGAAGAAGTTTATGTCGAACAACCACTGGGATATATTAAAGAAGGGAATGAATCAAAAGTTTATAAATTAAAAAAAGACTTTATATGGGTTAAAGCAAACTCCAAGAGAATGGAATGCAAGAATCGATTCATACTTCAAACAAAATGATTATATACAATGTCCTTATGAGAATGCTCTCTATTTGAAGAAATATAATAATGGAGATATATTACTTGTTTGCTTATATATGGATGATCTTATCTTTACTGGCAATAATCCACTTTTATTCAAGGTTTTTAAGCAAACGATGGTAAAAAAATTTGAGATGACAGATTTCAGATTCATGTTATTTTTTCTTGGCATTGAAGTAAAACAAAATAAAGAAGGAATATTTATCACACAAGAAACATATACAAAGGAAGTTCTAAAGAAATTCAACATGGAGAATTATAATCCAGTAAGCACTCCAATGGAATGTGGAATCAAACTATCAAAGAGAAGAAGGGAAGACAGTCGATCCAACTATGTTCAAAAGTTTGATCGGAAGCCTGAGATATCTAACAAGTACAAGACCAGACATTCTATATGCAGTCGGAATTGTTTGCCGCTTTATGGAAAATCCCACTGAGACACACCTGAAGGCAGCCAAGAGAATTCTTCTATATATTAAAGGTACACAAAATCATGGACTTCTATATTCTCATTCTAACGAATTTCAACTTTCAGGATATTCAGATAGTGATTGGGCTGGAGATCAAGACGACAGAAAAAGTACAAGCGGATTTTTATTTTATATGGGCGACACTACTTTCTCATGGAGCTCACAAAAATAACCAGTTGTTGCTCTATCTACTTGTGAAGCTGAATATGTTGCTGCATCATCATGTGTATGTCATGCAATATGGCTAAGGAAGCTACTGAAAGAGATTGGATATTCTCAAGGCGAAGCTACAAAAATCTATATTGATAATAAGTCAGCAATCGCACTATAAAAAAATCCAGTTTATCACAAGAGAAGCAAATATATTGATGTTCGTTTTCATTATATAAGAGATCAGATAAAAGATAAAGAAGTTCAAGTGGAGTATGTGAAATCTGAAGATCAAATTGCAGATATTTTCACAAAACCATTAGCTGTAGAACAGTTCATAAAATTAAAGATACTTCTTGGAGTGGTTGATAAAAATTTTTGTTTAAGGGGGGGTGTTGGAAATATAAATCAAAATTAATGACCAAGTTGTTGGAAATATAAACCAAAATTAATGTTTAAGTTTTTTGTGTATATAGAAAATTGTATGAAAGAAAAATCTAAAAAATGTAATAACTTTTGGTGGTTGGTTGTTGAGTCTTTATTACAGAAATATCTAGAATGTGTTTCTAAAAATGTCTTTGTACTAGTATAAATAGGCATTAAGTCTTGTCATATAGATGTAAGAGATAAAAATTTATAATAGAAATTCCTCTTATTTTTATCCTCTTCCACTCTTACAAATAATTTCTCTCTAACAATTTTCACCATGTAACTTTTAGTATGAAGAGGAATATTTTATTCTGTGTATTTTGACTATAATAAGTTATATTATTAATGATTAATTTTTCCTACATAAATTTTTAGGTATATAAAATAAATAAGGCTTTTCTAGTATTTGTGATATTTATATAAAAATCATAAAATTATAATTTGAATATACCTTTGAAGTTATAATTAGAATGAAAAATATTTAGTGAGTATATTTTTATACTGCTATATGGCTTACTACAGAGCAGAAGGAGATGTCATACCAAAGACAACATTTGTACAATAATGCGAGTTTGTATTACTTGAAACTCCAAACAACCCATTATTCTTAGAAATTGACAAAGGCTTATTTGTCCCAATGGACTACAAGGCGGTGAAACTGCAATGCATGATAAAGAGGCCACAACAAAGTAGCCACTAAATCAAGAGCTTGGGACCAAAACCTGCTCCAAGTTCACGACGACAAATGCTTTGGAACCAGTCTAAATGTAAAGAGAAATAGTGAAATCAAAGAAAGGTTTAGAGAAACTTCCCTGAGGCATAGGGGAGATTTTCATAGATCATGACCCACAAGCACTCGAGATAGATAATCCAGTTAGGAGATATGAAAGGGGGTGGCTAGAGTGAAACCTTAGGAGAACAGAGGTTGCGATATGATCTAATGAAACTAGAAAGGGAGCTGATGAAAATCTTGAATTATGAAGGTCAACCATGGATTCTAAAGATTTTCTTTTGAGTAAATAAAAAATCAAATACATGTAATATTATTTTGGTAGTAATATGTGACATTAGGTGATCAAGACATTGAAAAGAGTACATATTTTATACATCTTGAGTCTATTATTCAAGCTGATGATGAAATAGATGGGGATATTATATGTCGAATTCAAGACGAATGGTTGAAGTAGAGGAATGCATCGAGCCTATTACGTGATAGAAAAGTATCCCTAAAATTTAAGAAAATAATTTATAAGATGGTGGTGAGACATGCAATGCTTTATGGCACAAATTGTTCACCATCAAAGGAGAAGCAAAAAATTTAGTTAGGTGTTATAGAGATGAGGATACCCAAGTGGATGAGTTACTTCACACTTGGTGAAAGAATGCGAAACGAGTATATATGTGAAAGGTTAGAGAACTTCTAGTGGTAGATAAGATTAGATGGATTCACCTTAGATGGCTTGGCCATATAAAATGTCGGCCTTTTGATGACCATATTAGGTGAGTATATATATGTATTTTGTTTGACCTATGTTAAGAAAGGTATGTAAACACCCAAAAAGACTTGTTTAGAAAGTATTAGAAATGACTTGTTTTATTAAATTTAATTGAGAATTTGACTCGTAATAGTATACAATTGAGAAAAATGATTCATGTGGTTGACCCCTTGTAGTAATATATATGTTTTTGAGGTTGCTATTATTGTAGGCTAGTTTTGCTTAAAATTAATGGGCATGCTTGTTGCAAGTAAGATTTTTAACTCAGGTATAACTTATAAAATTTTAATAAATATGGATTTAATAAATTTTATTAGGGTTAAATTCTTAAAATAATTTCCTAGGATAGCCCTAAATTTAATTAAATTATGGTAAACTACTTGACTATTTAGAATTCAAAGCTTTTATGAGGATTGTGAGATCTTCTTGTATTTATTCAAATTATATTAATTCTAATTAGATAAACTAAAATATAATCAGCTTAAAACAACACCTTAATTAATTATTAATCAGTAGTTTCTTAAGCTAATTAAACCCAATAGCTTCAATTTAATCACTTTAAAAAATTTGGGGACCCCTCTTTTTAAAGGCAGGAAAAGGTTTCACTTATTTGTAGATATTTATACAATTATTCAAATGAAGATTTATGCTTAGTCATATAATTTCCTTTTATTTGGTGGTAGGCTTGTTTTTATTAGAAGTGTGTTGAACTCACTTCCAATTTTTAGTTTTCACACTATTCATCCTACTATGACTATTTGTCTTAGAATGGAAAGAATTTTTAACAAGTTCTTTTGGGGTTCTAAAAATAATAGTTCTTGCAAATTTTGGGCTTCGTGGAAAATATTTGTGGTGTATTTGATGAAGGGGGATTGGGTTTAAAAAATAAGGTGGATTTAGCACATGCTTTCTCTCATAAGTTGTGGGTTTCTTTCAGATCTAATAACAGCTTGTGAGCTAATTTTATAAGACATAAATATTGCAATAATCTTCACCCTTTTTTTGCAGGTATAAGGGCTCATATTCTTTGATGTGGAAAATACTTTGCCACATCAAATGAAAGGATGAATAATATATTCAATGGGGCATGGACCAAAGGGAGGTGTCCTTTTAGCAAGATAATCAGATTGGTCCTTACTCTATAGATAGATTTCTTAATACTCACACTATTAATAATATTAAGGTTAATAGTTTTACTGAGAATGGTAACTTGAATGTTAACAAATTATTAGATGTTATTCCTTCTACTTTAGTTGATAATATCATGATGATACCTTTACAAATTCATTGCAAGGACCAGATCTTGTTCAATTTAGCTTCCTCGAGTAAGTTTGTTTTGAAGAGTGTGTGAAATTATTTTAGAGTTACTCATGATAAATCTCATGTTTTTCCGCCTATTTGGAACAAGATCATTCCTCTATCTTATTTCATTCTTGTTTGGAGGTGTCTCCATGATTTATTACCTATTGATGAAAAAAGGGTTTAATTTTCCTTCAAAATGTCAATGTTATTCTAATATTGAAACTATCAATCATGTGTTTGTTAATGGAGGTATTGCCCAAAAAGTTTGGAGTTATTTTTTAAATTTGGCTAACAAGGGTGAGTTCAATAGCATATGATGTCTATTTTACAGTGTTGTCTTAATCATTCTAAATATCATATTTCCAACTTAATGTCTATCCTAATTATGTGGTTCCTTTGGATGGTTAGAAATGATTCGAAGCATAAAGACATTAAAATGGAGTTTACTTGCATCATTTCCAAAGTGGAAGGTAAAATTTTACAATTATATTTTATGAAGTTCATTATGGAAAAGAATTTATATAATTGTAATGCTTTAGCCTTAGACTTGAGTATCTCCAATTCTACTTGGGATAGGGCCATGTGTGATAGAATTTTGATGTGGATTAAGTCTTTGCCTCCTTTTTGCAAAATGAACACTAATGGCTTTCTTAATTCTTGTTCGGGTGGTGTTGGTGGGATTATTTGTAATGAGTTCGGTAAAGTGATTTTTGCCTTTGCTAATCCTTTAAATTTTTATAATGCTATTATCGCTGAGCTTATGACATTATCTTATAGGCTTAATACATGTTATATATTAGTAATGTGAATGTTTGGGTGGAGGTGGATGCTTTGATTTTAATTCACATCCTTA